TACATACACTTAGGTTGGAGTCATTAAAAATCGTTTTTCAAGCCACTCCACACATTTCTTGTTAACAAACTATAGTTTTGGCAAGTCGGTTAGGACATCTACTTTGTGCATGACACAAGTCATTTTTCCAACAATTGTTTACAGACAGATTATTTAACTTATAATGCACTATCACAATTCCAGTGGGTCAGAAGTTTACATACACTAAGTTGACTGTGCCTTTAAACAGCTTGGAAAATTCCAGAAAATGATGCCATGGCTTTAGAAGCTTCTGATAGGCTAATTGACATAATTTCAGTCAATTGGAGGTGTACCTGTGGATGTATTTCAAGGCCTACCTTCAAACTCAGTGCCTCTTTGCTTGACATCATGGGAAAATCAAAAGAAATCAGCCAAGACCTCAGAAAAAAATGTGTAGACCTCCACAAGTCTGGTTCATCCTTGGGAGAAATTTCCAAACGTCTGAAGGTACCACGTTCATCTGTACAAACAATAGTACGCAAGTATAAACACCATGGGACCACGCAGCCATCATAGATGCGTTCTGTCTCCTAGAGATTAACGTACTTTGGTGCGAAAAGTGCAAATCAATCCTAGAGATTAACGTACTTTGGTGCGAAAAGTGCAAATCAATCCCAGAACAACAGCAAAGGACCTTGTGAAGATGCTGGAGGAAACAGGTACAAAAGTATCTATATCCACAGTAAAACAAGTCCTATAATCGACATAACATGAAAGGCCGCTCAACAAGGAAGAAGCCACTGCTCCAAAACCACCATAAAAAGCCAGACTACGGTTTGCAACTGCACATTGGGACAAAGATGGTACTTTTTGGAGAAATGTCCTCTGGTCTGATGAAATAGAACTGTTTGGCCATAATGACCATCGTTATGTTTGGAGGAAAAAGGGGGACGCTTGCAAGCCGAAGAAACCCCATCCCAACTGTGAAGCACGGGGGTGGCAGCATCATGCTGTGGGGGTGCTTTGCTGCAGGAGGGACTGGTGCACTTCACAAAATAGATGGCATCATGAGGAAGGAAAATTATGTGGATATATTGAAGCAACATCTCAAGACATCAGTCAGGAAGTTAAAGCTTGGTCGCAAATGGGTCTTCCAAATGGACAATGACCCCAAGCATACTTCCAAAGTTGTGGCAAAATGGCTTAAGGACAACAAAGTCAAGGTATTGGAGTGGCCATCACAAAGCCCTGACCTCCATCCTATATAACATTTTGTGGGCAGAACTTCAAATGCGTGTGCGAGCAAGGAGGCCTACAAACCTGACTCAGTTACACCAGCTCTGTCAGGAGGAATGGGCCAAAATTCACCCAATTTATTGTGGGAAGCTTGTGGAAGGCTACCCGAAACGTTTGACCCAAGTTAAACAATTTAAAGGCAATGCTACCAAATACTAATTGAGTGTATGTAAACTTCTGACCCACTGGGGAATGTGATGAAAGAAATAAAAGCTGAAATAAATAATTATCTCTACTATTATTCTGACATTTCACATTCTTAAAATAAAGTGGTGATCCTAACTGACCTAAAACAGGGAATTTTTACTAGGATTAAATGTCAGGAAATGTGAGTTTAAATGTATTTGGCTAAAGTGGATGTAAACCTCCGACTTCAACTGTAACTCGACCTTTTCTTGTTACTTTCATTATCCTAAAATTAGGAAAATATTTTAAAGATACAGTAGGTGGGTCTTTGGTAACATAATTCCAAGGCACAAGGCAGTCTTGCTTACATTTACACAAGGCAGAATTTTTTTTTTTTAAACATTACTGTTTTTTAAGACTTTTTCTGGGGAAATGTTTTCTAAGACCCATTTTCCATCTGTTTGACCAGAAATCAAAGACTTTGCTTATTACATTTTTAGGTTGATAAATGGTGAAACAAATTATATATGCCTTAATTCCTAAAAAAAATATAGACTCTTAGTTTTCATTTGACACCCAATTTGACATGCTCCATGAACTTCACATTGGTGCTCATGGTTCCTTTCACATGGAAATTACCTTTAAAGCAGCAGATCATTTCACTTCAAGTGTAATTCAATAGAATGTAATTTTTTCCAAAGTGTCTTACAGTTAACAGATGTATTAAATATGCAGATTCAAACCTACAACCCAGGTGGTGCCAGCACCGTGCTCCAACCCACTCCACCATCTGGTGGTGCCAGCACCGTGCTCCAACCCACTCCACCATCTGGTGGTGCCAGCACCGTGCTCCAACCCACTCAACAATCTGGTGGTGCCAGCACCGTGCTCCAACCCACTCAACCATCTGGTGGTGCCAGCACCGTGCTCCAACCCACTCAACCATCTGGTGGTGCCAGCACCGTGCTCCAACCCACTCAACCATCTGGTGGTGCCAGCACCATGCTTCAACCCACTCAACCATCTGGTGGTGCCAGCACCATGCTTCAACCCACTCAACCATCTGGTGGTGCCAGCACCGTGCTTCAACCCACTCAACCATCTGGTGGTGCCAGCACCGTGCTCCAACCCACTCAACCATCTGGTGGTGCCAGCACCGTGCTCCAACCCACTCAACCATCTGTTGGTGCCAGCACCGTGCTTCAACCCACTCAACCATCAGGTGGTGCCAGCACCGTGCTCCAACCCACTCAACCATCAGGTGGTGCCAGCACCGTGCTCCAACCCACTCAACCATCTGTTGGTGCCAGCACCATGCTCCAACCCACTCAACCATCTGTTCTACCAGACTGTCTGGCCAGCCTGTAGCTAGTTTAATCTCAATGCATTAGTCTCAATCAGTGGTATGGTTGCAAAACACCATGTACTTACCAGGGTTAGGGTCAATTCTAATTGAAGACAGTTCAGGAAGCTTTTTACATTCATAGCTTTTTTTGTTTATTGAGAATTTATTGAAGATAGATGACAGTTTTCAATTATTGGTAATTACTATAGTTCCTACAAAATAAACTATGGTAATTAACTTACTGGTCATTTTGGAAATATATGGAAACGTTATAATGTTATAGGCCTATTTTTCAATTATTTTGTAGCAAATATTGTGTTACAGGGAGTACATTTTGTGTCAGCGTGCATGTGCGTATGCAAGCGTTTTTGACCTGTGTAAATAGGCTTTATGTAATGTGCTATGGGAAGGGTGTTCAGGCCATTAGCAGGGCTGATCTCAGCATGTGCTGCTACCTGTTTACAGTCTGTCCCAAATAGGATAAGAGACACTTATTTTAAACACAGCCTGCCTGGTCTGTCCTATTTCTTTACCTTGATACCTTCAGCCAGTATACAGTCTGTGTTCCGTCCATGTTTTATAGGATTCTGTGATCCTCTGAGCTTAAATAGAGAGTTTGGTACCGTCGTGATACGTCAATAAGTTATAAAGTATTAAACTATTGGCCAGTCTGAGACTCATTAACATTCATCTGGTGACTGAATATTTGATTTGACAATTTTTAAGATATAAAAATGTTACACCAGGCAACAGATACATACAAGGGCTATGGCCAAACATCCAGTAATATGGGTGGTCTATACCATGGATACATTCATTCATATCCGTAGACAGTCACAGTCATGTGTATAGGTTATCAACTGACTGTAGGTTATGTACCTGCTAAAAAGAAGCAGCTGACAAGTTCCTGTTCTGTGTCAGACGCTCTGTGTCAGCTGCTCTGTGTCAGACGCTCTGTGTCAGCTGCTCTGGACAGCTGCTCTGGACAGCTGCTCTGTGTCACCTGCTCTGTGTCAGCTGTTCTGGACAGCTGCTCTGTGTCACCTGCTCTGTGGCAGCTGCTCTGGACAGCTGCTCTGGACAGCTGCTCTGTGTCAACTGCTCTGTGTCAGCTGCTCTGGACAGCTGCTCTGTGGCAGCTGCTCTGGACAGCTGCTCTGTGTCAACTGCTCTGTGGCAGCTGCTCTGGACAGCTGCTCTGTGTCACCTGCTCTGTGTCAACTGCTCTGTGGCAGCTGCTCTGGACAACTGCTCTGTGTCAACTGCTCTGGACAACTGCTCTGTGTCAGCTGCTCTGTGTCAGCTGCTCTGTGTCAGATGCTCTGTGTCAGATGCTCTGTGTCAGATGCTCTGTGTCACCTGCTCTGTGTCAGCTGCTCTGGACAGCTGCTCTGTGTCAGCTGCTCTGTGTCAGCTGCTTTGTTTGTTTTTGTTTTGTTTTTGGTCATTTAGCAGACGCTCTTATCCAGAGCGACTTTCAGGAGCAATTAGAGTTAAGTGCCTTGCTCAAGGGCACATCGACATATTTTTCACCTAGTCGGCTCGGGGATTAGAACCAGTGACCTTTCGGTTACTGGCACAACGCTCTTAACCACTAAGCTACCTGTGTCAGATGCTCTGTGTCAGCTGCTCTGGACAGCTGCTCTGTGTCACCTGCTCTGTGTCACCTGCTCTGTGTCAGCTGCTTTGTGTCAGCTGCTCTGTGACAGCTGCTCTGGACAGCTGCTCTGTGTCAGCTGCTCTGTGTCAGTTGCTCTGTGTCAGCTGTTCTGTTTCAGCTGCTCTGTGACAGCTGCTCTGTGTTTGCTGTTCTGATTCAGCTGCTCTGTGTCAGCTGCTCTGGACAGCTGCTCTGTGTCAGCTGCTCTGGACAGCTGCTCTGTGTCAGCTGCTCTGTGTCAGTTGCTCTGTGTCAGCTGTTCTGATTCAGCTGCTCTGTGTCAGCTGCTCTGTGTCAGCTGCTCTGCGTCAGCTGCTCTGTGTCAGCTGCTCTGTGTCAGCTGCTCTGTGTCAGCTGCTCTGTGTCAGACGCTCTGTGTCAGCTGCTTTGTGTCAGCTGCTTTGTGTCAGCTGCTCTGTGTCAGCTGCTCTGTGTCTGCTGCTCTGTGTCAACTGCTCTGGACAGCTTATCTACATCCAGGATATGGTGGTTGCTGTTTTTCATTTTTAAATCTGTGTGTGTTAAGAGTGTTATGTGTTAACTGTGTGTGTGTGTGCTAAGTGTGTTATGTGTTAACTGTGTGTTCTCTCTAGGTGTATGTGAGAGGGCAGCATGCAGTCGGCACCAGCAGGTTTGTGGGACCCCCATGGACCCCAGTCTGAAGATGTCTCCCCCCTCCCCCTCCCCCTGTATCCACCCTCCGCCTGTCGCCTCTCCCATTTGATTGCCGCGCCACCGGCTAAGCGAATCACCTTCTACAAGAGAGGCGACGATCAGTTTGCGGGAGTGAGGATGGCGGTCCACAAACGCAGCTTCAAATGCTTTGACGCACTACTGGACGACCTGTCGCAGAAGGTCAGAATATACACGTGAACACACACACACACACACACACACACACACACACACACACACACACACACACACACACACACACACACACACACACACACACACACACACACACACACACACGTACACACACACACACACACACACACACACACGTACACACACACACACACACACGTGAACACACACACACACACACAGTCCACACACACACACACACACACACACACACACGTACACACACACACACACACACGTGAACACACACACACACACACACACACAGACATTAAACCCTTGATGTGGTGGTGGTGAACCCGAACGTGTATCTGTGTGTAGGTGCCCCTGACATTTGGGGTGCGCACAGTCACCACCCCCAGAGGAATCCACAGTATTAAACATCTAGAGCAGCTGGAGGATGGGGGGTGTTACCTCTGCTCTGACAGGCGGCAGGCTAAACCAATCAACATGGAGCTGGCTGGCAAACGCCCCGCCCTCTGGCACCACAACAGGTGGGTGTTTTGTATGAATATCTGTGTGTATATAACAGTGTAAATATGATGTGTGTGTGCGTGTGGTGTCTGTGTGTGTTGTTTATCATGTGTATGGCAGTGGCGGTCGGGGACGTTTAAGATGAGGGAGGACGATTATAATTTTTTATGAGCGTGGCCTTATTTCTATTACACCATATTGGATGACTGTCGTTCATATTCCATTCACCCAGTTCAATGTAACATCAATAGGTTTAGGCTGCTACGTCATACCTGAATTGTCCCTGTACCCATCATGAGGTTGCTACAACCTAGCCTATGAATGAAAGTTTACAACATAGGTGCGCAGGTCGGGAGAAAATGTTTGAGTGATCAAGGTGACAGACAGTGACACAGTCAATACCGCCTTGCACACGCTTGCCTGCATCTAGCTGAACTAGGGGTGTAATCATTAGTCCAACAGATGCAAACAAGAGTTTCTATTGTACAAATTCAGGTATGTTAATCCCCGTTTCGTTACGTTTGCTTCCGTTTAAGAAAGATTTTTCAACCGAATCGGCGGGATGAATACACCCGTGATCACACGCAAACACAGTTCACTTTCATAGCAGCCACATACAAACAGCATGATCATTTTGCTCGTTGTATAATTCCTTCTCGCATCTACGCGCTCTCCTCCTCTCACCTTTTCCCTTTGCTTGTGGACATCAGCTGTCTGTGACCAAGCGAAAAAAACTTTCCAAGCCAAACCTTCATATCATAACCGCTAACCACTACACACAGCCTACATTGTTGTCACAATATTAGCTAACGTCATAGTCAACATAGCTACTAGAACTAACACGTTAGTAAACCGGCTACAATCATTCAGTACAGTGTACAGTCAGCAAGCAGTTTAGCAGTTACACCGGCTTATCTTGACTTGGAAGAGTTCCAGTGTTGGGTAGCCATAGCCAGCTAGCTAACATAGCATCCCTCTCTGTTTGAGCCAGGTGTTTGAGTAGGCTAAACTAGCTAGCTACAATTACTAGCTAAGTGAAAGTTTTAAAAAAATACATTTAACTAAAGCTAGCTCTCTCTCTCTTGCTTCTCCTTCAAAACTGTTCAACTATTGTCTTTCTCTCTCTTTCAGTGAACTACTCACCATATTTTATGCACTGCAGTGCTAGCTAGCTGTAGCTTATACTTTCAACTCTAGATTCATTCTCTGATCCTTTGATTGGGTGGACAACATGTCAGTTCATGCTGCAAGAGCTCTGATAGGTTGGAGGATGTCCTCCGGAAGTTGTCATAATTACTGTGTAAGTCTATGGAAGGGGGTGAGAACCATGAGCCTCCTAGGTTTTGTATTGAAGTCAATGTTCCCAGAGGAGGACGGAAGCTAGTTGTCCTCCGACTACACCATGGTGCTACCCTACAGAATGCTGTTGAGGCTACTGTAGACCTTCATTGCAAAACAGTGTTTTAATCAATTATTTGGTGACGTGAATGTATGTAGTATAGTTTTAACTAAAAAGGATAACTTTTTTAATGTTTCACTATTTTTATTTTTATAAAATTCACTGAAGAGGATAGTCCACCCCTTCTGCCTCTGAGGAGCCTCCACTGGTGTATGGTGTGTGTGTGGTCACGGTGTGTGTGTTCACGGTGTGTGTGTGTTCACGGTGTGTGTGTGTTCACGGTGTGTGTGTGTTCACGGTGTGTGTGTCCCACTACAGCCGCCGAGTGCCACAGCGACCAGCAGAAGACCCTCCCCCTCCCACTGCTCCAAGCCACACCCCTACACGGCAGCGGCGCATCCTATTGGTCAGGAACAGCGACCCAGCGGTAAGGAGGAGTGTGATTCTGAGCCGCCGCTCGACCCGAAGCCTCCGAGTGTTTCTGGAAGACATCTCGGAACTGATGCGGTGTCACGTCAGGAAATTATACACACTAGAGGGACGCAAGGTACGTCTGGGAGTGGGGGGGGGGGGGGGGGGGGGGGGGGGGGGGGGGGGGGGGGGGGATAGGGCTGGTAGTGTGGTGTCTTGTGGGGGGGGATAGGGCTGGTAGTGTGGTGTATTGGGGAGGGGGATGATAGGGCTGGTAGTGTGGTGTCTTGGGAAGGGGGGGATTGGGCTGGTAGTGTGGGTGTCTTGGGAAGGGGGGGGATAGGGCTGGTAGTGTAGTGTCTTGGGGAGGGGGGGGGATAGGGCTGGTAGTGTGTTGTCTTGGGGAGGGGGGGATAGGGCTGGTAGTGTGGTGTCTTGGGGAGGGGGGGATAGGGCTGGTAGTGTAGTGTGTCTTGGGGAGGGGGGGGGATAGGGCTGGTAGTGTGGTGTCTTGGGGAGAGGGGGATAAGGCTGGTAGTGGGTGTCTGGGGGGGGATAGGGCTGGTAGTGTAGTGTCTTGGGGGGGGGGATAGGGCTGGTAGTGTGGTGTCTTGGGGAGGGGGGGATAGGGCTGGTAGTGTGTTGTCTTGGGGAGGGGGGGATAGGGCTGGTAGTGTGGTGTCTTGTGGAGGGGGATAGGGCTGGTAGTGTAGTGTCTTGGGGAGGGGGGATAGGGCTGGTAGTGTGTTGTCTTGGGGGGGGCTGGTAGTGTGTGGTGTCTTGGGAGGGGGGGATAGGCCTGGTAGTGTGGTGTCTTGTGGAGGGGGGATAGGGATGGTAGTGTGGTGTATTGGGGGCCGGGGAGATTAAGGATGGTAGTGTTGGAGAGTTTGTCTTGTGGGGGCGGGATAGCGGATGGTAGTGTCGGTTCTTTTTGTAATGGGGAGGGGATAGGGATGGTAGGTGGTAGGTCGTATTGGGGAGGGGGATAGGGCTAGGTAGTGTGGTGTAATTGGGGAGGGGATAGGCGCTGGTAGTGTGGTTTGTTTGGGGTGGGGGCGTAGCGACGGGTAGTGTAGATGTATTAGTGCGGGATTAGGGATGGTAGTGTGGGTGTATGGGGGGGGGGATTAGAGTTGGTAGGTGGTGGTCTTGTGGAGTGGAGGTGGGGGTTGGGGGGGGGGGGGGGGTTTAGGAGCTGGTTAATTTGGTGTCCTGTATGTCGGAGCGGCTGGTGTAGGGCTTGGTAGTTGTGATGTCTTGGGGAGGGGTGGAGGGCTTGGATGAGCGGGGTAGGGCTGGGAGCAGTGTGGTGGGTTTTGGGGAGGGGGGGGGTGGAAGGTCTTTGGCCTTGCAAAAAAGATTCATCACCCTTGCGTTTTTCTATTTGTTGCATTACAACCTGTATGTAAATTGATTTTTATTTGGATTTCATGTAATGGAAACATACAACAAAATAGTCCAATTTGGTGAAGTGAAATTTAAAAAATAACTTGTTTCAAATAATTCTAAAAAATAAATAACGGAAAAGTGGTGCGTGCATATGTATTCACCCCTTTGCTATGAAGCCCCTAAATAAGATCTGGTGCAACCAATTACCTTCAGAAGTCACATAATTAGTTAAATAAAGTCCACCTGTGTGCAATCTAAGTGCCACATGATCTTTCACATGATCTCAGTATATATACACCTGTTCTGAAAGGCCCCAGAGTCTGCAACACCACTAAGTAAGGGGCACCACCACAAAGTAAGGGGCACCACCAAGCAAGCAGCACCATGAAGACCAAGGAGCTCTCCAAACAGGTCAGGGACAAAGTTGTGGAGAAGTACAGATTAGGGTAGGGTTACAAAAAAAATTCATAAACTTTGAACATCCCACGGAGCACCAATAAATCCATTATTTAAAAAATTGAAAGAATATGGCACCACAACAAACCTGCCAAGAGAGGGCCGCCCACCAAAACTCACGGACCAGGCAAGGAGGGCATTCATCAGAGAGGCAACAAAGAGACCAAAGATAACCCTGAAGGAGCTGCAAAGCTCCCAAGCGGAGATTGGAGTATCTGTCCATAGGACCACTTTAAGCCATACACTCTACAGAGCTGGGCTTTACGGAAGAGTGGCCAGAAAATAGCCATTGCTTAAAGAAAAAAAATAAGCAAACACGTTTGGTGTTCGCCAAAAGTAATGTGGGAGACTCCTCAAACATATGGAAGAAGGTACTCTGGTCAGATGAGACTAAAATTGAGCTTTTTGGCCATCAAGGAAAACTATATGTCTGGTGCAAACCCAACACCTCTCATCACCCCGAGAACACCATTCTCACAGTGAAGCATGGTGGTGGCAGCATCATGTTGTGGGGATGTTTTTCATCGGCAGGGACTGGGAAACTGGTCAGAATAAAGGAATGATGGAGGCGCTAACTACAGGAAAATTCTTGAGGGAAACCTATTTGTCTTCCAGGGATTTGAGACTGGAACGGAGGTTCACCTTCCAGCAGGACAATGATCCTAAGTATACTGCTAAAGCAACACTCGAGTGGTTTAAGGGGAAACATTTAAATGTCTTGGAATGGCCTAGTCAAAGCCCAGACCTCAATCCAATTCAGAATATGTGGTATGACTTAAAGATTGCTGTACACCAGGGGAACCCATCCAACTTGAAGGAGCTGGAGCAGTTTTGCCTTGAAGAATGGGCAAAACCCCCAGTGGCTAGATGTGCCAAGCTTATAGAGACATACGCTAAGAGACTTGCAGCTGTAATCGACTTTGCAAAAAGGGGCGTGAGATATAAAAATCCGGCCAGAATGTGGTTTTAAGCCGTTGTGGTCCTCTCGCATTTTCGCTCTGTGTATTCTTCGATGTGGGTCCCTGTCCCAACCTTTACCCTACTCCCATACCCCTCTCTTGATAGTCCTTCCACCCATCCTCGCAGAAGCTCGCCCCCCTCGTTCGGCTAGCGTCTCTTTTTATTTTTCTTTGTACGACCCTGTTCTCAATTTTTCCCTCCTTGCTCGCGGGCTGTGGGCACACGCTTTTCTTCTTCGCCCTCGGGGGGGGGTGGGCACGGTCGAAAATTTCCATGGCGGGGCGGGCCTCCCCCTTCCCCATTGAATGGAATGGCGTTTGGGATGGTGAATTAGTATGCGACGCTCAAGTTTCTGTTTTTTTGTGTCTTATTTTCTTGTGTTTGTTTCACCCAAAAAAATATTTTGTATCTTCAAAGTGGTAGGCATGTTGTGTGAAACAAATGTACTAAAAAACCCCCAAAAAACAAATTGCAATTCCAGGTTGGTAAGGCAACTAAAATAGGGAAAAATGCCAAGGGGGGTGAATTACTTCCGCATCCAAGCCCGAAAAGGGAGGTGCACCGTATGGACACCGGGGTTCGATCTCGGCTGATTAGATCGCAGTCTTCAATCTTACTCTAATTCAAAGCTCTATTTCGCCTCGCTCCATTCACACTCCTTCATACGCGTTCTCCATGCTATGTTTTTCATAGCTCCTCTCTCTCCTTCATTTCCCCCTGCCACATAGCAACGTGAATTCCGCACGTTTTCTAGACAGTTGTTCCCTTGCCCCACTACATTCATATATCCCCGCTCATTCGCTTCCTACCGTATTGTAGTATCCCGTAACCCTGGTACTTCAAACTCTGGAGGGGCTGATGACACCCTCCCTCCTCTTGTCAGTTTTCGAGCCAGAATTGATTATAGCTGTAAAAGCGGCTTCTAAATACCCCTGTTTACTAGTCGCCCTCGCCAAAAATATGCAGCCCGTCCTTTCCTGTCGTTCGTTCCTCCCGAGACAGCCGTTTTTCGCTTTCGCCGACTCTCACGCCCCTATAGCCCCCGCCCGGGTTTCTGATGTAGAACCACATAAAGCCTTCGGTTGCATTCGTGCTTTACATGACTTGCTATCTATCCCCCCTAATCTGCCTGTGAAACAGAAGCAATCGTAAATTTCTTGTGCTACTTACGCTGCTCCCAACAACGCCGTACCGTTATGTTGTCCCCCATCTTCTGCCTGCTACTTTGTTGTGTGCGCCTAGCGCGTGACTACACCCCTCAGTAAAAGTGCTTAACGACCAACTCCAACGCTTTACCCAAAATTAGACCTTGATGGACACGACCTTCCCGTCTTATCACAAAAAGGACCGTTACCGCTGTTCTCCATGAGGAGAGTCCCACCTAATACTCATAAACCTATGGGAATGTCCGCAACGCCTCCTCTCGCCATCATGACACGCTCCCTTAGTGTGACATCCCCGTGGAAGCACTCTCCTTTCAATTTAAAGAACTAAATCAATTACCATTATCTTTACTTGATATGTCGAAATGAATTACTTATGACCCATTATATCTCCAACTATATATTTAGATTATGTTTTTGACGAGAATTTCCAAATCCTTATTACTTTTTTAGCCCGTTCTCCCTTCTGACCCACCTCTCTAGTATTGACCACCCTCTCGCACTTTACAAAAGATTGTGAAAAGTATCACTCGACGCACAAAAAGCCCCGCGTTTCCGAAAAGTATGCGACTACTCTCCAGCCATGTTAGCGGGACGAATTTACGGTAAATCCCTATGTTCCCTCTTCTGACTGCGTTATACTTTACCACTCCCCCCGGTCGCTCCTTCCACGCCTTTTACTTCTCCCATGTCCCACTCCCTCTCATCCTCCACGCCATTTGCCATTTGCTCGTGGCCTATTATTCCGCTTTCTTACCCCCTTCGCTATCCTCTCCCTAGGTACTGTCCCTTTACCCCTCTACTTTGCCCTGTCTTAATCTTCCCTCCCCCACCCGACCTCGTTCGTCTGTACTTGCCTGATCAATGCCGTCTGATCTTAGGGATTCGGGAATCAGGTAAGGCGCGCGAGTGATGATATCGCACCCGATCGTACACCGAGTATATATTGTGGATTGTCATCACAAGCCTGACCCCTTATTTACCCATCATCTCACGGATGGGTGTCCCTGTTTAGAGATCCGGGGAAAAGTTGATTCAAGAAAAGAACAGAACCATTGGGGCATTTTAAGGTAAATGTAAGTCGTGTTTGGGTAAGCTGAGATGAGAGGTCAGTTGTTGAGCTGCTCGTTGCAACTGTTGCATTATGAACACTAGCCCGCCTGAAAACGGAAGCGGCGAGAATGATCGAGTGGAGAAATGGAAGGGGGTGGGGGGGAAGGGAAGGGGGGATGGAAATAAAAAAAAGTACGGTGAGTGGGGGAGTGGTGTAAGCGAAAAGAAAGGGTAAAGAGAGAGTCAGAGAGGTGAGTAGAAGAGAAGAAAAGAGAGAGGAGAGAGGGTAGATGGGAAGATAGAGAGAGAGAGAGAGAGAGTAGAGAGAGACGAGCGAGGAGAGAGAGAGCGAGATGCGAGAGAGAAGAAGGAAAAGAGAGCAAGGAGGAGAAGAGAAGAGAGAGAGAGAGAGAAGAGAGAGAAGAGAGGCGTAACGAGGTGCGAGGACAAAGATAGGAAGAGAGAGAGAGAGAGTATCGAGAGAGATCTCTAGATATATAGATAGAGTTATAGCGATCGAATAAGATGAGTGAATAGCGAGCTATATCTCTAGGTCTCTCTCACTGCGCAGAGATCTAGCTAGCTCATGTACCCTTCTCTAGCATCTCTTCGTCTCTCTCTAAATTTCCCCTCTCTCTCTATCTCTCTCTCTCTCTCTCTCTCGATCTCTCATCCCTCTCTCTCCTCTCTCTCTCTCTTTCTCTCTCTCCTTTCCTGGTAGTGAACTTTGGTCTGGAGACTAAGAAGAGCATCATTCATCCTCGCTCAGACTCTTCAAACCGCTCCACCCGTTTCTCTCTCTCCTCTGAGAAGTCCTACGCTAACGGCCTCGGCACCTGTCCCCACTCCCACAGCGGCAGGGAGGCGGTGCTGAACGATGACATAGAGAAGCGTGTGCTGGTGAACAAAGATGGCAGCCTGTCTGTGGAGATGAGGGTGCGGTTCCATCTCCAAAACGACGAGAAAGTCCAATGGTCCACGGAGATTAAGAAGTCTCCCTCTGACTCTCTGACCAATGACTGCTGTCCGCTCAGTGAAGCCCAGCCCTGCTACCTACAGGTAAACTTTGATATGCCTTTTTGCGTTTTGTTGTTTTATATTACTCCACTTTTGTATATGTTTTTATTTGTTCAGTAAGCTACTGTGTGTATGAAAGTGCTTTTCAAATTGTTATCGTTATGTTTCCTACAGCAGGGCCAATCGGAAAGCTGCTCGGACCCTGACTCCACCTCTTGTGTTGCTGAAGCTGCCGACTACGCTCCCAAGCCTCCACAGCGCTCCCTGAAGGAGCCACAGCCACGCTGTGCCTGCTGCTATCAGCGACAGGACCCGGAGTATGACCTCTGGGAAAACTCCCGCCCACATCCAGACCTCTAAGCACTCCCACTCCAGGGTTAGACACACCCACTCCTCTAGCTCCTCATCCTCCTGCCGCTCCAGCAGGATGGTGAGGAGGCGGGCGATGCACAAGGAGGGTTCAGAACCAGGAAGGGTTGTCCAGGAGTGCTGCGTCCGGGAGGAGGTACAGCGTCGGGTGGAGGTGGAGAGGGATGGAGGGATGGTGGAGGTGTGTACAGTCAGCCGTAGCTGCAGCCGCAGTGAGCTCAATCTGAGTGCCACAGACAACCAGGGGGAGGAGCGTCCTCTGTCTAGCTCTTCCCACGTACTCCAGGTGCTTCAGGAAGATGTGGATGACTTCCCTCCAAGCGCCTCACACTGCAGCCATAGCAACAACCCACCACAACCGCTCCCCTTGACTCCGCGACCTCCCAGCCACTTGTCCACTTCCTCCAGGAGCAGGAAACACACCCCTGCCCCTACCCCTACCCCACAGGGAGAGGAGGGGGGAGAGGGGGAAGAGGAAAGGCGTGACATGGGTGAGGAGAGGGCTAGCAGAGCCTCCTCCCGACGCTCTTGTCACTCGTGCTCCTGCTGTAGTGGAGAGGTCACCCCTCAGGCCGACCAGGAGAGGGCGGAGTGCTCGCGGTCAAAGGCCAGCCAAGCCTCCCACAGATCCAGATCCTTCAACAGATCCAGATCTCCCTCCAACAGAATCAGAACCCCTGTGGCTTCAGAGGAGGGAGATGATGAAGATGATGAGGAGGAGAGACCAGTCAGCGTTATGTCCACTCACATCGGCCTCTCCGGGGGATCGGGGGGGTCAGTGGGGTCTATGGTGCCCAGTGTGTGTCCTCACTGTGGGGGGTGTGACCATAGGTCCAGCCCTGCATCCTGCCCCTCACAGAGGTCACAGCGATCTAAATGTGAAGAGGAGAGGTCAGGGAGCGGACTCTCGGGTGGCTCAGATGAGTCCGGTTTTTCTCAGAGGACCAACAGGTCCAACTGTACCCACTACTACCAAGAGGGCCGAGCAGCCAGCAGAATGTCACACCTGTCTCTGCCCGAGGAGGGAGAGGAAACAGGGAAGGAGGGAGAGGTAGAGGAGGGAGAGAAAAGAGAGGAGGGGGAGAAAGAGGAGAGAGCAGCCAGCGCCCTCTCAGCCAAATCCTTCTCTTCAGTCAAGGGCAGGAACTCCAGAACCTCCCATAAGTCTAAGGCCTCAGAATCCCTTGCAGACATGGAGGAAGAGATGGAGGGAGAGATGGAGGGAGAGATGGAGGGAGAAGTGGAAGAGGGAGAGGTAGAAGAGGGAAGAGAGCAGAGAGCAGCAAGTGCCATGTCAGCTAATTGTAACCTCTCAGGAAAGTCCAACAGCAAAGCAGAACGGGCCCCTTCCCCCAACTTACCAGAGGCACCAGTTACTGATGAGGTGAGAGAGGGGAGACCAGCAAGCGCCATATCGGCCAAGTCTAGCAGGTCTCATAAGTCTACCTGTAGAAAAGCAGATGGGTCCACCAAAGCTTCAGAGAGGGCAGCATCTCCCAGATCAGAACCAGAAGCTGCTGAGGATACCGGAGCAGCAGAGACAGAGGACAGAGCAGCCAGTGTCATGTCAGCTAAAACCAGTGCTTCAGCAAAGTCCAGCAGATCTCATAAGTCTACCCGGAGTCAGAGTTTTAGGGCTGCTTCAGCTGAAGTCCCTGCTATTGAGACAACGGGTGAAGAGGTAGAAGAGGGAGAGAAAACAGAGGAGAGGGCAGAGAGCTCCATGTCAGCTAAATCGAACCTCTCAGCAAAGTCCAACAGGTCCCGTAAGTCTGCCTGCAGCAAAGCAGAACAGGCCCCTTCCCCCAACTCACTAGAGGCACCAACCACTGAACCTGGTGTGGTTGAGGAGGGAGAGAGAGCAGCGAGCGCCATGTCAGCTGAAACCAGGGCTTCAGCAAAGTCCAGCAGATCCCACAAGTCCACCTGCAACAGGAGTGTTAGGGCTGAGACACCTGTTGCTAAAGACATCCCTGCTATTAAAACAACAGAAGGAGATGAGAATGGATCAGCTGCTGCTGCTGCCGGAGACACAGAGGAGAGACCAGCGAGCGCCATGACGGCTAAAACTAACGCTTCAGTTAAGTCTAGCAGATCTCATAAGTCTAAAGCTTCAGATAGGGCTGTCTCTAAAGGGGCTAACATCCCGGCTATCGAAACAACAGTGAAATCTAGCAGATCTCATAAGTCCACCTGCAGCAAAGCAGAACGGGCCTCTTCCCCCAACTCACCAACTGAACGGGCCCCTTCCCCCAACTCACCAACTGAACGGGCCCCTTCCCCGAACTCACCAACTGAACGGGCCCCTTCCCCCAACTCACCAACTGAACGGGCCCCTTCCCCCAACTCACCAACTGAACGGGCCCCTTCCCCGAACTCACCAACTGAACGGGCCCCTTCCCCCAACTCACCAACTGAACGGGCCCCTTCCCCGAACTCACCAGAGGTAGCAGCTTCTGCTGTAGATGAGGAGGGAGAGAGAGCAGCGAGCGCCACGTCTGCTAAAACCAGGGCTTCAGCAAAGTGCAGCAGATCCCACAAGTCCACCTGCAGTAGGACTGTTAGGGCTGAGACTCCAGGGACTAAAGACATCCCTGCTATTACGACGACAGGGGGAGATGAGACGGTTGACGATACAGCCGCTGCTGGAGACACGGAGGTGATACCAGCGAGCGCCATCTCAGCTAAAACCAGCGCTTCAGTCAAGTCCAGCGGCAGAAGGGCTAAGACTCCAAGCTCCCGACCAGCCGATGTCCCTGTTATCGAAACAAAAGGAGGAGAGGAGAAGGAGAGACCAGCGAGCGTCATGTCAGCTAAATCCACCGCCTCTGTCATGTCCACCAGGTCTCGTAAGTCTACCAGCAGTAGGAGGGCTGAACCAGCTGCAGAACCAGCTGACGTCCCTGTTATTGAGACCACCGGAGGAGACAAGAAGGGAGAGGGGACAGAGAGACCAGCGAGCGCCATGTCAGCTAAATCCACCGCCTCTGTCATGTCCACCAGGTCTCGTAAGTCTACCAGCAGTAGGAGGGCTGAACCAGCTGCAGAACCAGCTGACGTCCCTGTTATTGAGACCACCGGAGGAGACAAGAAGGGAGAAGGGACAGAGAGACCAGCGAGCGCCATGTCGACTAAATCCAACGTTTCAGCAAAGTCCAGCAGGTCTCACAAGTCCACCTTTAATAGTGGAAGTACGAGAGCGGTTTCTCCAGCAGCTAAAACAGCAGAACTCCCCACCATTGAAACAACAGGGGTTGACGGGGAGGGAGAGAAAACAGGGGAGAGATCAGCTAGCGCCATGTCGGCTAAATCTCACGTCTCAGCTAAATCCAGTACATCTAATAAGTCTAATGGCAGTAATAGAATTATGTTTCCACATCTGAAAAAAGAGAGAGGTGAGAGAGGTGTTATACCTGCCCCCAGCACTACAGGAGATGACCTTGAGACAGGCAGTGTGAAATCTGCCGTGAGCACAAAACCCAAAAGTAAAGCAGATTCCTCAACCACCAGAGCACCACAGGCCAGTGCTAAATCTACCAATCAGACACCGCCTGCCACCACCGAGACAGCCAATGAGGAGTCTCAAAGTCAAGCCGCCAGCAAGGCTGCAGACAGAGTTGATGATGTCGGAAATGATGTCACAGAGGAGAAAGCGTCCAGCGTACGCTCTAAAGCAGCTGGAGACTCCAGGCCTGCATCTGCTGCCTCCGCCCGCTCTGCCAGGTCAAAGGTGAAAGTTGAGAAGGCCAGCGATGCTCAGGAGGAGGACAGTCCAAAGACAAGCGCCTCCGACTTCCTGCAAGTGAAAGGTCAAGGTCACAGGGTCAGAGCTCAGAGCTCCAGACCAAAGTCAGCGGAAGACCCTCCCTCCGAGTCTCTCAGTCCCCCCAGGGGCTCCGCTATTCAGTTGGAGACGGCCAGCATCAGTGACAGCCTCCTCTCCCAGTTCCTGTCAGCTGCTGACCTGCTCAAGGGGAACATAGTCATCTTGCGCCCCTCCAGCCCTGCAGGGTCAAAGGTTAGCCTCACTGAGAATGGGAAGAGTGGAAAGAGCCAGAGGAGCAGGAAGCCCAGACAGGAAGAGACGGAGTTAGAGGAGCTGGATCCCCTCTGTCTGCCCAACACCTCGCCCAACGACGTTGTCAGTGATTGGCTGAGAGGCATTCCTGCCGACAGCGGCATGGATAATCCTGAAGACGAGATGAACGAGGGAATTGAGGAGACAGAAGAAGAAGGAGAGGAAGCGTTGGAGAAAGGAGGGGAAACAGAGGGAGTGGGAGGAGAGGAGAAACAAGAACCGGTTGAGACCGCAGTGCTGGAGCAGGAGAACACGGCTGAAACAGGACAACAGGAAGTGGAACAGGAGAACACAGCTGAAACAGGACAACAGGAAGAGGAAGTGGAACAGGAGATCACGGCTGAAATAGGACAACAGGAAGTGGAACAGGAGAACACAGCTGAAACAGGACAACAGGACGAGGAAGTGGAACAGGAGATCACGGCTGAAACAGGACAACAGGAAGTGGAAGAGGAACAGGAGAACACGGCTGAAACAGGACAACAGGAAGAGAAAGAGGAAGTGAAGGAGGCTGCAGAGCACCCAGAGGAAGATGAGGAGGTGGAAGAGAGGGGAGAGGAGGAGGGAGCAGAAGAGGGAGGAGAGTGCTCTGAGTGTGCTGGCTTATGCTCTGACCCAGCCCCGACCACCAATGACATCACTTCCTCTCATCCTCGCCATCTGTTCCTCAGTAAAGAGTCAAAGCTGCCCTGGAGCTGCCACTCATCTGTGGCAGTGATGAAGGTTCTACTGAGCCCTTCACTGGGCCGATGCAGCTCCCTACCCGAGGTATTTCCTGTTTCTAGGCTTTTACTTACTTACTTTTACTTCCCAGTGAGCACAAGACGTTGAAAAGTATTTTCAATGTCTTTTCAACATCTTTTCAACCCCAAATATGTATTTCCTAAATCTTTTGCTCATAGGGTTAAATACTTTATAGTTTTACTTATATACTTCTTACTTTTAAACTGTTATTATTTTCCTACTTTTATTGTGTCATATTCACATGGTTTGTATGACTTTCAGGGGGAGAATAAAACACATTTTGATGCAAGTTATTCCTAATTCTTAATCCTTTACTCCAGATAAGTCCTGTGTACGGACGCAGACTGAGCTCCTCTGCTAAAGGTCTGCTGGACTGTCTGGCCCAGCTGCAGCTCATCGACCCGCCCCCTTCTCCAGCTGCAGCCCCGAGCCCTGACAGGGGCCAGAGTTACCAAGAGGTCATGGATATACTAGAGTCACTGTGGCTGTCTGAGCCTGAGAAGGGGAAGGAGAGGCTGAAAGACTCTGGTGTGGACCTGAGCAGCGGCTCAGCTGGGTCGGGGGGTTCTGGGAAAGGCAGACCAGATGAAACAGCAGGTGACATCACTCCCATAGCGGAGGGAGGGGAGGGGGAGGCAGGAGAGACAGAGGGAGAGACAGAGGGAGGGGGAGAGGAAGGAGAGGGAGAGGGAGGGGGAGAGGGAGAGGGAGGGGGAGGGGGAGAGGAAGGAGAGGGAGAGACAGAAGGAGGGGGAGAGGAAGGAGAGGGAGAGGGAGGGAGGGAGGGAGGGGGAGAGGAAGCAGCATCAGCAGAACTGCTTTCAGACACGACCACCCCAGACATCGCCAGCCGAGTGCAGAGCAGTCCAGGGGATGATGAGGCGGTCCCAGAGTTGCCCGCTGGGAGAGGTGAGATGATGCGCACCCCTGAGAGCCTCAAAGCCCCAGGGAGCCCGTCCTCTTCAAACAGCACAGCCTACAAGTCCCCTACTGACATAGAGAGAGAAACCCCGGAAGACACCCCCAGCTCAGGGACACCCCCGTCGGTCCAGCGAGCGCTGCTCACCAAGCGTGTCTCCCAGGACCCTGACCCAGTCTGGGTTCTCAACCTGCTGAAGAAGCTGGAGAAACAGTTCATGACCCACTACGTAGACGCCATGGCTGAGTTCAAGGTACTGATGCAACAACATGAATCATCATCATCAACATCAAATCAAATCAAATTTTATTGGTCACATGCGCCGAATACAACAGGTGCAGACATTACAGTGAAATGCTTACTTACAGCCCTTAACCAACAGTGCATTTATTTTAAACAAAAAAGTAAGAATAAAACAACAACAAAAAAGTGTTGAGAAAAAAAAAGAGCAGAAGTAAAATAAAGTGACAGTAGGGAGGCTATATATACAGTAAAATAAAGTGACAGTAGGGAGGCTATATATACAGGGGGGTACCGTTGCAGAGTCAATGTGCGGGGGCACCGGCTAGTTGAGGTAGTTGAGGTAATATGTACATGTGGGTAGAGTTAAAGTGACTATGCATAAATACTTAACAGAGTAGCAGCAGCGTAAAAAGGATGGGGTGGGGGGGCAGTGCAAATAGTCCGGGTAGCCATGATTAGCTGTTCAGTAGTCTTATGGCTTGGGGGTAGAAGCTGTTGAGAAGTCTTTTGGACCTAGACTTGGCACTCCGGTACCGCTTGCCGTGCGGTAGCAGAGAGAACAGTCTATGACTAGGGTGGCTGGAGTCTTTGACAATTTTGAGGGCCTTCCTCTGACACCGCCTGGTATAGAGGTCCTGGATGGCAGGGAGCTTTGCCCCAGTGATGTACTGTAATCATTTTGTTATGAATAATCTTGATAATACTGTTGTGTTTGTTCAGGTACGGTGGGACCTGGACGACAATGTGATGTTGGACGCTATGATCACTGAGCTGAGAGACGAGGTGAAGAAGAGGATCCAGACGAGCATCGATCGTGAGCTGAGGAAGATCCGGGGGCGGGCAGGGCGGGGGGGCATGCCGCGCCCCCCTATCCTGTCCCGGGATTCAACCGTTACAGACCAGAGGAGGCGGAGGTTAAAGGTGGGAGGGACCAACACCTGAGGTTTCTAAATCACCCTCAAAGTCACTCAGTAACAAAGCCACTATTTTAGTTCAACAACTTTTAAAAGACTTTTAGTAAGACTTTATTACATAATATATTTTTAATTCCTATTGTTAGTGTATTGCCATGTTTCGAATGCATTCCTAATAAAGTTTGACTGTGCTTTGAAGGTCATGAAGGTTCAGTCAGTGAACGAGAGTGACGGGGAGCAGGGTTCGGGGGCGGATGTTAGCGACCAGCGCAGCGAGGGGGAGGATGAGTACTGTCCCTGTGAAGCCTGCGTACGGAAGAAGGCGGATGCCCAACAAATCAAAATGGAGGCTATGGTCACCACAGCGCCGGTGATGATGGCGTTTGATCTACGTAAGATCCTGCAGATGAAGAAAGACCCAAAGCCTCTGGCGCCCCCTAGCCCCACGGAGGGGAAGAACAATGATTGCCTGGAATTGGAGGAGAAGAAGGAGGAGGAAGAGGGTGGGAATCTAGAGATGGTACACAAAGACGAGGAAGAGGAGGATATTATACCAACTGTTGTCATACAGGAAACTATCCCTGAGGAGGAAGAGGAAGGAGCAACTGAGGGAGAGGAGGGAGAGGAGGAGGCACAGGAGAGTGATGAAGCTGAGTCTGTGATGGGGGAAGTAGAGGAGGAGATAGCTGAGGAGATAGATGCTGAAGAACAAGAGCAGGATGGAGTGGTAGAGCGAACGGAGGATGAGGAGGAGGAGGACGAAGGAGAAATGGGAGGTGAAAGTGCAGGAGAAGATGGTGTGGAGGGGGAGGAGACAGGAGAGGGGGAGGAGTTAGTAGAAGGGGAAGAGGAAGAAGCAGTACAGGAGGATCAAGCAGGAGGAGATGAAAACACTATTGATGGACCAGCAGAGGGGGAGGAGGTGGCGGAAGAGACGGGAGAGGGGGAGGAGACGGGGGAGGAGGGAGTAGAGACAGGAGAGGGAACAGCTGAGGAGGAGGGTGGAGAAACAGCTGGAGGAGAGGGAGCAGTGGAGGAGGAGACAGAGGAGGCTGGAACAGGAGGAGAGGAGGAGGAGGATGGAGGAGAGGAGGCGGAGGAGGGTGGAACAGGAGGAGAGGAGGAGGAGGATGGAGGAGACGACGAGGAGGAGGAGAACAATGTGGCGTCTGAATTCAAGGTGGAAGAAGAGGAGGGAGAGAATGAAAACACAGCAGGAGAGAAAAGTGGAGAGGAGGAGGGAGGGACGGGAGGAGAAGGAGAGACAGAGGGAGAAGAAGAGGAGACTCCTGAGGAAGGCACAGAGGACAACGTGGGGGTGGAGGATGATGCTGTGGAGGAGTTTCATCCTGAAGAAGAGAAGGGTGAGGAGACAGAGGGAAAGAGACAATTCCCTCTGGTCCACCAGATGACCAGAACCTCTGTGGAGTCCCAGCCAGGATCTATGGAGAACACAGACCCAGTTTCACCAATGCGCTCTTTAACCCCCATAGAGACCAAGGAAACCGGCTCTGATGGACACAAGATGGCGTCTGCCGGGGAGGGGTCTGGGGGGAAAGGCCAGAGGAGGAGCCGATCTCCAGCCAGAGCCAAACGCAGGAAACCAAAAGAGAGCAACATAGAACTAGACGATCTAGAAATGTAACCCTCACAGGACATAGAACTGGACGCAATAGATAATTACCATCACAGAACATAGAACTGGACGTCCTAGATCTGTAAGCATCACAGTCACATAAAGCACTTTATAATCCCCTCTCTGGGAGAAGAATATCTATACCGGAGGTATTGCACAGGTGAAGGTAGATTCTGCCAGGTCAGAGTGGCATATCATTGTTATTTTTATGGAAGGATATAACTGAAACTTGAAACAATCATAGTATTACAAACTATAAGATGTCATTTGAAAATTATATTTGTATATTTCTAGAAACCAATTGTATTTGTGTCTGATTTTATTAGTATATTCTCTACTATATGGATGGGTGTATATTCTGGACTATATGATGATATGAGTATTTGTGTTTCTGAATAGGTGTGATGTTAAACAGAGTGACACTCCAGAGCAATGATCCCCAAACAGGACTCAAGTGGAGACCAATACCTCCTGGGTCCCAGCCTGAAATATGGTTTAGTTTGGGAAGCGCTGCTCAAAGGTTAACCTGAACATACACAATGCTGAGAGCACAGGGCTCTGACATCACATACAGAGTGACTAGTATCACGTAGCCATAAACATATATACCTCCCTGTGACAATAGACGTTGAGGGACCAAACCATATATTTATATAATTTATATAACCAACAAACCATATATGTATACTTGATATGGGATTATGGTAGTGTCATTCTGAAGCTAAGTGTTTGAAGACTGATGTTGGAATCTCAGGGAATCTCAGGCAAGGACGGTTGTATGATGTATCGTGATGGGTATGGTATGGTTGTATGATGCACAACTGCCCTATAATGTTTGGTACCGAGTAGTGCTGAGCGATTTGTGCTTTTTGAGGTTGGTTCAGTTTCGTTTAGATTATAAAAATAAAAAAATCATGTTTATTTCCGTTTTAAATGCATTATGAAATAATGACATTCAAATGATTCTAGAGCTTTTTAATAGATATTAATATGAAATAATGACATTCAAATGATTCTAGAGCTTTTTAAAAGAAATTAATATGAAATAATGACATTGAAATGATTCTAGAGCTTTTTAATAGAAATTCCAAAGCCCAAACTAGTGTACATTAAATTTGCCAAAACATTGAAAATATTCCATTGTCTCTGTCAGGTCCACATTGGGTAGACATCAATAGAACATTTTGAGATTTACTATGAAATAATACAATATTTCAGTTGTGTACATTATTTAGTTTTTATTTGATGACTTTATTATTTTTCATTCCTTAAAGTCATCGTCTCATATCTGCTCAGGCAGTAGCAGCCAGCCAGCCAGCCAGACCATCTAATGTTATATCTGTGTTCCCCATACTGCACTGTCTTTAGTCATCCTATTTAACTAGCCTGCCTAAGCATGCTGCAGAGCTGTCTGATGAAATCATTTTGCTAGTTCTTCAAAGTAGATAAGGCATACTTTCACCAAGGCGTAAAAGTCTATCCGTCTCTGTTCGAGCAGGAAAGAACAGGTGCAATGGATTATGGTCATTGTAGTTAATCACCACGTTTCTGCGCTGAACTAAGTTGAATATTTGCTTTATATATGGGTTAGCTGAGATCACGAAAACAATGTACGCGCTTCCATTTGGCAGAAGTCAGCCTGTTGTTGTGGTTCTGGATGGCCAGATTGCTAGCAAGAATGACAAGAAACTGCCATGTGGGGAATCGTAAGTGGTTGTTTCAGCTCGTTTCATCTTGTTATTGAAAGCATGTCTTGTTTTGAGGTGTTTTGACTGATTTCATGGCTAAAATTCGCTAGCTAGCTAACCAACACATTTATTTATGTTTTCAATAAACATTGAGGACGAAATATAGCTTACATGTTGTCAACAATCTAAGCCAACCCTGTCTGTTTTGCCTCATGGTTGCGCAAGCCTCGGTTTTGTTGCTTAACAACCAACCCGTCTATAAAAACTACAACTCCCTTCAGCCCAGCGTCCCACACAGTTCTTGACTTGACTTCTCTCTTGATTGATTTGATTTCTCTCTTGATAAACGGTGCATTTGGCTCACAAAAACAAACGAAAATGGAATTCAAGTAATTGAACCGACTTCGTTCAAATAGTTGTTTAATAACTGAAAAAAATTAACAACATTTCGGTTAATCGCTCATCACTAGGACCAAACCTGTTTAAGTGTCTGCTTTCTGTCCCAGGTTGGGCCGTGAAGGTTGTTGTCGCCCCCCCTCTGATACACACGCAGCATGTGTGTTGTTGTAGAGTTGTCAAGGTAACGCACCCCTGATCTACGTCTGTGTTGTTGTAGAGTTGTCAAGGTAACGCACCCCTGATCTACGTGTGCGTTCAGTGTTGTTGCGTCAGGAGATATGACGCAGGAGCTTCCCAGGTATTTAACCATGTGGGACTGTAATCACTGAATCTACTCAAGACTTTAACTAATGCCTTAAAGGCACTGCATAGTCAATCCACACTTCTTGCTCTTCACGGAGCAGCACAGAGCTGTTGTCAAGGAAGTTGTCAAGGAAGTGAGTTTGGGTTTATACAGGATCTCCCGCCCCCGCCTACCGTCAACCAATCATGTCAATGCGGAGCTATACGGAACCCTCCACATTGGTACAGAATTTGTGAGGCGCACAGGGCGATGCGGTACAGAGCTCAGTTTGGCCTCTGCATGCCTCCGGAGGCTCCGCAATTGCGTCACACCCTCCATAAAGAGCCTCCAACCACATTTTTGGATCAAGCATAAATTGGCTTTCACTGCAACCATGGTGACAAGAGGGAGAGAGAAGAGAGACTATCTCTATCTTTAGTCTCACTATAAGAGGTACAGCTGGGATTGCTGTTGTTGTTGTTGTTGTTGTTGTTGTTGGCGTACCCGACTGAAGGGTCATCTGGATGTATTGAATACATTGATGGATATGTTGAAACAGGATGGACTTTGACACTTGTAGTTTAGAGCGAAGCTCTCATATCTATCTATCTATATATGTATGCTGTAACACATCTTTACACAGGGTTGAAACAGAGATGTGCACCATGATTCTCTCAGGCTCATAGTCTAAGGAGTCTATGGTTTTATAGTTTTGGGCGTCAATCATAAAGTCCTATTGGTTGGTTGGTGGTGCTGTGGGACATGTCTATGCTGCTATTGGTCCATTCGGCTGTCAATCTTTTGTGACATAACCTTGGGAACACCATGTAAAGTTTCAAATGAAGATTCTAATGTATTTTAATGTATAATAATGAATAAAATAAAATGTTTTAAACTAAATACTGTTTAGTTGAAATATGTTGCTACTTAAAGGTGCCATGCATAAGATTTCCACTGACTAGACCATTTCAACTCTTTTGTAAAGGATCTAGTTCAGATAAAGACTAACTATTTTGTAAAGAGGAGAGTGAGGTCCCTATAGATCCCGTGGTCCCTATAGATCCTGTGGTCCCTATAGATCCCGTGGTCCCTTTAGATCCCGTGGTCCCTTTAGATCCTGTGGTCCCTTTAGATCCTGTGGTCCCTTTAGATCCCGTGGTCCCTATAGATCCTGTGGTCCCTATAGATCCCGTGGTCCCTATAGATCCCGTGGTCCCTATAGATCCCGTGGTCCCTATAGATCATGTGGTCCCTATGTACTGTGTGTGTACGGTGCACCAGGCTGTAGGTCACAGGATCTAAAGCAATTCAGTCACTCTGAAGAGAGCAGCACCCACGTGTCACTCTAATCCTCTACCTGTGTGTGTGTGTGTGTGTGTGTGTGTGTGTGTGTGTGTGTGTCTTAAATTTGCCACAGAGGGATTGAGGTTACTTTACATCACAGCCCAATCTGAGCCGTAGCCTCACAGACACGAGGCAGAAACAGCCACTCAGTATAAGCATAATCCTATATTTGCTGTGGGTCACGTTTGTGATAAATATTATCTCGCTGGGAGACGGATCCCTACAGGAGATTTACATAAAGAAATGTTGATTAATGGCAGAAAACATGGATGCATTGCAGGAAGTTCTGAATATTCTGAAGTATGTTGTATGCCCCTTGACTGTTTAGGTAAACTTGCTTTGCAGAAATTGTTTAGACAACGGGCTGAAACAGCTACTCTATATCCGGAACTGTACCAACATGACCTCAGTACTGTGTCAGAATATTGGCTTTGTTCACAAATAACTCAAAATATCTAGAGGTGGATCACAGCTTTGATATGTTGGCGACCATTGGCTATAGGTCCTGATATTCTAACCATGTGGACACACCATGCTATGCAGCCATGTTGCAGGCTTCTGGTCAAGCCTGAAACAAGAGTGTCAAAATGTCTGAATGGGTAAATGGAATGTTCAGAGGCAGCAATATGGCGTACAGCTCCAAAGTTTCTATATGGTCGAGTTCCTTCCCTACTACGTTGCAGACGCATGCCAGATTACACAGCGCCTGGGTAGGTGTTTAACATAGCAGCTAACCACATCATATGACATAACAATCTGCCCGACTGCTTTCCAGTTGATGACGTGGCACACAACCAATGGTTGATGCAATGCAACGCCTACGCATCTAGTCGGGCAGGAACTCAACCCATGGCTTTGTTTCCAACTACAGGTGCCAAAGATTTTCTCAAGTTACGTTCTACTGCCCTCTGGTGCTGCCTTATTGTCATGGTTACCGTCTGCTGTTCTACAGCCCTATGTGGGGGCTTACCCTGCCTTATTGTCATGGTTACCGTCTGCTGTTCTACAGCCCTATGTGGGAGCTTACCCTGCCTTATTGTCATGGTTACCGTCTGCTGTTCTACAGCCCTATGTGGGGGCTTACCCTGCCTTATTGTCATGGTTACACTCTGCTGTTCTACAGCCCTATGTGGGGGCTTACCCTGCCTTATTGTCATGGTTACACTCTGCTGTTCTACAGCCCTATGTGGGGGCTTACCCTGCCTTATTGTCATGGTTACACTCTGCTGTTCTACAGCCCTATGTGGGGGCTTACCCTGCCTTATTGTCATGGTTACACTCTGCTGTTCTACAGC